AGGTAATATTTAAACGACACTTGTGACTTTAAACATGGTCATTTGTTTTAATTTATTTTAGTTTCCTACTTCTGCGCCTAGTGTCGAATATCCACTGGATGATGACAAGATCCTGCTTATTGAAGGATTGGTTCGTGAGGCTAGTGCGGAAGTTTTGTTCGAAAGGAACGGGGAAGATCGATCAATCTCTGAGCTTATTTTAACTTCTATTTCAAGGGTAAGCCGTATTTTTGGAGAGCTTTACTCTTTCTCTTGGTGATTGCACTCGTGTATCATTTTTGACTGGGCTGTTTATTACAGGCAAGGTCTTTACTAATCTATTGTAGGCGAAATAGGAGATTTTCAGGTTCTTGCAGCAGGGATATCATTGAAAGAGTTTTTCTTTCAACGACTAATCCATTGCAAAGAATTGTCCGTTTTAGCTAGGTTTAAGTATCGTAGGATAAATAGGTATCGATTTTTGTGGAAAATAGAGGCGCGAATTGGTTAGATAGCCAGTTTATGCGGTGACTAATCCAATATAGAATTGTGAAGAACTGACTGAGAAATAGTGTGAAGTTGTTTATCGTAAAGACTGTTTATGCATGTTTATCCACCGCTGGTTTGTCATGTACCAACTCAGATAAAATTTGTCGCAGTCCCTTGAATGTTTGTGAGAGTGTGTAAACTTGTTTGTTAAAGGAAGTGAACTGAAGCAAAGACAAACGATGGGCTTCTTGCCGCCCCTGTGTCAAGAAATTTCAGAAACACGTCGGCCGAATGGCACATCACATACCTTCATATTTGATTGTAAATTTTACGTATCGAGGCTGATATACAGGATACAAGGGGAGGAACAGTTTTTTCTAAGGAAATGCTGGCTTGACAAGGCTCTGAAAATTGTCGAATACAGCAGTTGAGGATATCATCGCTTTTCCTGGTCAAGATATCGCAGCTGCCATGGTTTCGTCAGGATACAGAGGCAGCCTGCAAAGGGAATTATGGCAGAATCAGAGCCAGCTTGAATATATGGGACATCTGGTATTATTGTACGTAGGAATCCAGCCTTTCAGCTTAGACGATTTGTGATTGACGCTGTTAGCAATACCTTGTAGTTGTTGTTCACCTTTCAACGTTTCCGGAAGAAATGAGCGGGTTTTGAAAGTAGATGAATAAATTGCCAGGTTCCCAAGCTCTGTTGGTTCAGTTCCAGCCAAATGCTCCTCCGCTATGGTTGCATGCGGTGTTTCTGATGGGTCTAAATCTGCCTATTTCCTGCGTAGTGATTCTTGAAATGCTCTTCATCTTTGATGGGAAAATAACTCACTGTGTTTCGACTGTGAACATGCTTTATGCATCGGAAACTCACTTACTGAACAAGAAGATTGAATGTCACCTAAGGTGAGGTATACTGACTTCAAACCATGAGGTGTTGGGCGTTCCATCCACATGTCACGTTGGTCATTGATCAGGTGATATTGGTCAGTTGATTTACCTACTTACTCATTTATCTGTCGTTGTTTCGAAGCATATGTATATAAATTTAGTAATCTTAGGATATGGAAAGGAATGTCTCCTGTCATAAGGTTTATCTTTACGCAATAATTTTGTAAAGCCGTTACGTTGATCTTTGTTTTTGGACAGTCTGAACCCTAATCTTAAAATTTAGCGGATTTTCTTCGCCCTTAAATTGTTTTAAACCATTTTAGTGCCCAATCGACATCAGAAAGGACATGGCAGAAAATATTCTTGTCATAGGCGGTGGTTGCATGATGCAGGGTTTCATGGCACGCTTGAAAGAGGAGCTTTTAAATGCTTTTGACGATGACCGACGTCCCGAAATGCGGCCGTTACAAGCTATAAAATTTTACAAACCTTCCGTTCTGCCAAACTACCTCGCTTGGGCAGGAGGTAAGTTGTGACACGTTATTTTATTAATTGTGTTCATTTTTAATGTTCCTAACGACAACTGGATATCATCATAGTCATTTCAGCAACCATTGATCTGCTGCTGGGTGAAATCCCCTCTAAGATATTGCCATAAACTTCAGTTTTCTGTGATCTGATGAACTTCTTCTGCTCATCTTGCGACTTATTTGTAAGTCTTCCCTTGGAGCCGTTTACTCTCTCTTAGAAGCTAGTCTAATGTCTCACGGTTCGTTTTGTAACATGCCTCCCCTGATTGCAACTTCAGTTTTTTCATTCTTTCAGTCACAGCACAGATTCCTGTTCCATTCATTTGTTTCCTTGTTTTTTCTTGTTATTCACATAATATACCTTTCCATGCTGCGTTACGTAGTCTACAGTTGTCGATTAGCTTGCAGGCCTCTTAATATATCTTACTATAATTCAGTTTTAAACAATTTGATTTTAACACAGAAGAAAATGGTTAAGTATATACGAGTAAATTAATGTAACCTTTGCTGTAATTCAGGCAGCATTTTCGGTGGTCTTGAAGTTCTTGCCTATCGATCTGTGAGCCGAGAAGAGTATAATTTAAACCATCAGATTCCTGACTGGACGGACAGAATTACTTTGGAAAAAGGTTAAGTAATTGTGTTTTTGCTGTAAAAGCACTCTGTATCTTAGTAATGTTTCTACATTTTCTACTCTGTCTTCAGTTGTATGGCGTTGTGCGCAAATATTCACCAAGTAAATAAGCAGTTGCGTCATATAACCATTGTGTTAGTTGCAACCAAGCAATTCAGTTTTGAAGTATAGGGTTACTGTTATTATTTTGTTAATGTGCGTTATTGTTTTGCTGGCTAAGATGGCGTATGATGCATGGCTTTACTTAATCTAAGCAGATGATCAATTTTGAATTGAATTCTGTTATTTATAAGTAATGGATTAGACTATCATATAAAACACTGTCATCATGATTAATGTATTGAACCAAAATGCAAATTACGAACAACAGATACAAAATAGCCGGTAAGTCAGTTTTATTCGTGAACTAGATTTGAGATTCGATATTGAGTTAGTCCAAAAATTCGACATGCTTCAGGGTTGATGAGCATAGTGTTTTTCGTTTTTCATTATTCACCTTTTGCTTCATGGTTAATGATTGGACTATCTCTCAAGTCTGAGAAGGCAACAACAAAAAGGCGAAATTAAATAATAACTCTAGGGTATGTGTAGCGTTACTCATTGGCAAAAGTGAGATTCATATATTACATATAAAGTAATTATCTCGATAGCACAAAATGGATAATATTGAAATTGTCACGTCAGAAGATTTGCAAACAGCGGGTATTAACTGCGTCGAACATCTTTTTGGATTTGTCCTAACATGTGTATCATATTTCTGTAGAGTTTTCGGCCTGCAAATGTGCGTGGCGTCGAATGGAATAATTTTTTGTATAATGTGTGAGGTGCATTTTTAAATATTCACCATTTGGAGCCAGACACGGGCCCCTCCCTCTCCAAAAAATTTTACTATTACTTTGAATGTTTCTTAGAAGCATATACGTCAGAACAAGGAGACTAGAGAAGACCGTTGATAAGTCATCTTCGTACAAAGCAAAAATGCATGATTGTTTCAACGACTCAATTCTCTCTTTGGAACTTTTCAAAATCAATAATTTTTGACGCAGCAAAAAGTTTTATGGCGTTTAGAATAATCTTCTTTCAGTGACCATGCCAAATAAGATATTAGGAGACCAGAAAACCAAGATATTTCTGATTGATTTCTGGTAAAGATATATAAAATCATGCAAATTAGAATTCATGGATCCTCGGAGAAGAAGGCAGTGACTCAGTATTTCTCATGATGACTCACATCTCTTAAGATGAAGCACGCTAAATTTATAAACGACTGCTGCATGACGGTCTGATTTTGGGACAGCCACCATATCATATGCAAGTTTTGACCAGCGATTCCATTGTTTTCGAATAGATAAACGGCTGGAGATCCATAACGAATAATTTCATTGAATTTTTTAAAACTGAATATCAATACCACTTCTGCACTTGAGATAATCATATATATATTTCACATATTTCATAAGCATAATTATGCGTCCAGGAAGTAATAAGTTTTTTATATATTGGCAGTATATCCCCAGTAGTGCACGCATAAAAGGAAAATTGTTTCTATATATATTGACCAATGATGTTCAGATTCTTTGATGTATACAACAGAAACCTAAAAGCCAAGGTCTCATTTTTGTCGTTAAGAGACAGACAACGATCAGTGGGGATTGTTATGGATCGCTGAATAGGTTGAAATGCGGTGGGGCTTGTTCCCTTTTAGCCGCTTCGGCAGCTGTATATGCCCATCGCGAACCATAAAACAATCGGCCCGTGGTCATAATTATAGCCAGTGGTTTCGAGGCGAGTGCCACTGTTCAGCCGATCGGCAAATGAGTTCTCCGTAAAAACAAATGGCGTCCTCTGATACACGAGCAGGCACCTGTTAACATTGGAATAACGTAGCTTCTCTGCCGCACTCTGCGGCTCCTTTGCCCCAAAGAATGTAAAAGCAAAGCCAGCCAGAATATGAATTCAGACTACCGCACCAAGGTTTTGGCGACTGACACCAACGCGGTGGCCTGAGGATATTCTTGTGATTGATGCAACGGTCTCCGGTCGGTTATTCGCAAATCATGATGATGAGAACGGAATCAATAAAGCCTTCGATGGCTTTGAACGATATTCATTTTGGTAGGGTACTCGTAACAGTGCTTCAATTAAGCTTAGAAACTTTTTTATGACGGACCGTTTTCTACGGCTATTAAAGAATGACAGTAACTTCATCTTCATCTTCCATCGCCGCTTCTCCTTTCGGGTCGCGGAAGCAGAAGCGTGAGACAGTGCTTCCAACGTTCCCGATCCTGTGCCAGAGTCTGAGCTTCGGCAAAAGACAAATGCAGTCTGG